GCTTTATCGTCTAGATTCCGTAGCAGTTTATTGTCGATTCCATCTGGCCCTGGCGCCGATCTGCCATTGAGTTGTTGTAGGGCGTACCGTATTTCAGCTTCGCTGAATGGTTCGTCTAGCTTTTCTTGCGGTCGACCTCCATATGATGGATTTTTGTTTTCCCAGGCTACTGATTTGCTTTCCAGTGGGAGATATTTGTGGCCTAGCGTTTTGAGGAGTGCTTGGGATCCACCACTATCCTGGGCGTGCTTGTGCACCAATCGTTCAATTTGCAGCTGGGTGCCACCTCTGGTGGGTTTGTCGCTGTCCGCCATAAGGTGTTTGAGCAGCCCCCATTTGCTTCCCTTCCTCATTTTGCCATCTGCTTCGTCACATGTGTTGTTCCACTGCTGGGCGCAGATTGTCTTGGCGTGAGATTCGATTTCGCGGCCAAGGTCTGCGATTTTTGTACGTAAGTGTCTGTTGAGCTTGTTTTTACGCCACGCTTCTTTTAGGTCATGCCTTTTCTGCAGCAAACTGGCCAGGTGAGAGTCCATTGCCTGGATGGATTCATCAGTCTCGACTTCTTTGGTGGCCTCATTCGCTGCCATTTTTAATTCATTTAGGAGAGCTTCATATGATAGTTCTGTATTGCCCTTCTGCTCCCGTATTTTACGGAACTGGTCCCAGTCTGTGATTTTGAATTTTCTTGGCGCTTTCACCTCGTTCTCAACGGTAATTTCTAGGATGCAGAGGTCGCTACCTAGGTCTTCGGCGAGGTTATCCCATGTAGCTCTGACGTTCTTGGTGAAGGTTAAGTCTGGCATTGTGTCCCGCTGTACCGAATTACCTCTTCTTGAAGGGAGGGCAAGGTTGTTTATCAGCTGCAGGTCCAGCGCATTCGCGCTTTCTGCTAGCTTGGTGCCTTTGCTTTCGCTTTTTAAGTATCCCCATTCGGTACTCCTGGCGTTAAAATCGCCCGCTACTATGAGCGGATTGTCACCCGCCATTTTTACCGCCGAGGTAAGCAGTCTGTTGAAATCTCTTTTCTTATCTGATGGAGAACTGTAAACACTGAGCACGAAGATGCTTCTTTTAACAGCCCTGTGTGGTAAGATTTCCACCAGGACCGTTTCCAGGCCTTTTTTGTATACGGGGGCGTCCCTTTCGGCGAACATTATGTCCTTCCGGATCAAGGTAGCCACTCCTCGCGTCTTGTTCTGCTCGGGGTGCAGGGTCGGCCTGGTTATACCCTGTACCCCTGTATGCCAATGCTTTTAGCAGTTTTGCTTTCTCCACATTCCTGTAGCAATATTATATGCGGCTTTTTTTTTACAGGCTAGCAATAGTTGTGTTAGTGCTGCTTTGCGTTTCTGAAGTGAGTTACAGTTCCACTGCCAGATCTTAATCTCGTTACGGTCAGCAGCCATTTTGACTTGGTAGCTTGTGTGCGTCGCGGCTCGTTATTTCCGCGAGATTGCGTGCATTGACTGGTCGGACTTTAGCTCTAGAAGGTATACTCGGCACGCTTGCCGTAACCGCTGGTTTGTCCGCGCTTAGGCTCTGAGGAGCACCTGCCCCAGCTGGGTTGGCTGCCATCTTCTCCAGGCTCACGAGCCTCTGGTCAGCTTTGTCAGTGTAAGTCTTAAAGGTTTCCATAAACTTGGCAAGCGTGTTCGCCAACGTATCAATTTTGTCGTTGAGCTTAGTTGTCACGGACTCGACATTTTTCAGTAGGGCTTCTTTTTCTATCGAGACCACCTCGATCTCCTCCGTCATGTCACTGTCGCTGTCTACGGCTTTGCGTTTGTGTGTGTTGTGGATCGTTTGTTGTGAGCGTGTTGTCGGTGGTGCTGGTGAGCTCGACAGATTAATTCCGTGGCAGCTCTCTATTCTAGCTATTGAGGCCCGGAGCTCTTCAAGCTCCTTCTTGAGGGCCCTGTTTTCTTGTTCAAGCGCTACAATACGAGAATCGGGAGCATGCTCTGGCTGTGCCTTACCTTTGGGCTGGCTACTTGTGCTTCGTGCTTCACCTGCAACCCTGCTGGCCCAGGAGCCATTGTTCGGCTGCTGCTGCTGCTGCGTGGCTGTTGGCCTCGTTCTCGATCGGGATCTGGAGCACTCCCGAGATGACAGGCGGTTGTCGGATCCCGACAGGGTCGAGGGGCGCCCTCCGGAACGAGAACGGCCTCTGGATCGAAAACGCCTTCTGGATCGGGAACGCCCTCTGGATCGGGATCTCCCCCTGGATGGAGAACGGTGATGGACGCTCGAGGCGTTCTCCCGTCCCGGCACCTGGTTGTGGCAGGGTTCCTTAAACGTGACAGACGTTGGTGCGTCTTGACGTTGTTGTGCTTGCCACTCTTGCTTTCTGCGTCTTCTTCTCCTTCTCACTATGTATGGAATGTGGAAGCGTCTTTTCCATTCGCGATCTCCGGTGGGGTGATTGCCATCGTAAAGCTTGCATTTCGGCTCGCAGTGATGCACGCCGTCTTCTTGTAGCGTTTCACCGCAGTTGTGACATTTCTTGCTGGTTGCGTTTGTGTGCCGGCAAACATCGGCGCGATGGCCGACTCCTCCGCACGTTCTGCAAACATCGACTTGTCGCTTGTAGAGCGAGCAGGGAACCATGGCGGTTCCGCATATCACTGTGCTCGGAACGCGCAACCCGTCAAAGAGGATTGCGACGACTTTGGTCTTTTTAATGCGTCTTGCCTCGATGGCAGTGGGATTTCGGTCGTGCGCAATCAGGCGTTTGAGCGTTGCGTCGTCAAGGGAGAGGTCAACGTTCTTGATGACGCCCTTGCATGTATTATCGGGTGCAGCCACTTATGCGGCAACTTCGAACGAGCCTTGGTTTGTGTGCAGTTTCTGCACGTTCACGTATGATGTGGCATTATTTTGGTACGGCGTAGAAATAACAATGATGTTTTGCATATTGTTGGGGCAGATCGTGTCCTCCCGTGCTTGTTCGTCGGTGATCTGGGCGGCCATGATGACGGCTCTCGCCAGCAGAACGAGGTCGACTCGGGCTACGTCCAATCCACCTCTGGGTCTCATAATTACCCTGATCTGGTCTTTGGGTAGGCGGGGTAGCCTGGAAGCGGATACCACATGGTGTAGTGCCGATTGACTTTTTTTAAAGCCCCTGGGGTGCTTCGGCTGGTTGCTGTGCTCGACCGTCCCAGCGGCCAGCTCCTCGTTCGGCGGAGTCGTCTGCCTTCGGGGTCCCATGGCGGTGGCCCATCCTGGTCCGTCGAAGATCTCCGCGCTTACTTCCATTCCCTCCACGGTTACGGTGGAAGGCATTTTCAGTGCCTGGTTGTCGGCTGCGACGTACGGAGGTTGATCCAGTAGCTGCCGCGTCTGGCCGAGCCCTTGGCTACGTGTAACGGCCGTACTCCTCGCTAACCCTAGGTGTGGTTAGGGTTAGCGGGGACGCTCGCCGCGTCGCAACTTTGAAGTCCAAAAATATGTCTAAGAGTTCACTCACCGCCAAAAATGGCGTCTCCACTGAAACCGCAGAGCTTGCTTGTTCGAATAAGCACAAAGCCAAGTGATCTTGAAGCATAGAAACGACCGAAAACATTTAGAAAAGCGGGAGCCGACGTTTTCACGTCCGCGCTCCTCGACGCCACCTAGCAATCCCCCACCGCAGTCAGAAGCTCTCTTGAGCTTCATAATCAAAGCTAGCACGGTTCTCCGTCAAGGCCACTCAAAACAATAACAGGAGAACTTGATTATCACACTTATATATATATATATATATATATATATATATATATATATATATATATATATATATATATATATTTATATATATATATATATATATATATATATATATATATATATATATATATATATATATATATATATATATATATATATATATATATATATATATGCGCGACCGGCTGTGGTGAACGCGAGTAATTTGCTTATCCAAAACGTTCGCAAAGGCCCGTATCCAGAGCTCTTGCCGTTGTGCTTCGCGACAGCTGCGTAAATCGGTAAAAGTGAAGTCTTTTATGCCCGTGGCAAACCACAACGCAACAGTAGCGTCGACTGAAGTGTTTCTTCGAAGAGCGCGGAGCTGTTGCGTCTGCTCTTTTCGCCGTCGTTCTTGCGAGTGAATCAGCAAGCACGCCATGGTGGTTCGATGACGCCTTCGAATAGCGAAAAGAAAATTGTAGCTTTTTTTCTTAGTGTTCTATGCGTTAACACACCAAACATTTAGCTCAATTGTTGTTTTGCCCGTGCTGGTTGCTCCTGGCTGCGCAGCAAACTAAGTAAGCGAGTCGGGCTACCCAAAACTGTGCTGACAGGAGGCGCTACGTGTCTCCAAAACTCCAGAGACTGCCGTCTAAAAGGGATAAACATCGACGGAGATAGAACGATCTGCCGTCGTTGCCACCCTCCCCGTAAACGAATTTTGGCGCCGCACATTCACCGGGCTTTGTCGTCCTTGACCTGCCGCCCCTTCCGCGGCTTCACTTCTCGCGCATGCGTTCGCAGCCTTCCCGCAGGGCAGGGGGTCGGGAAACGTACGCGTTGTGTTTTGACCATGTTTGCTTGGGGGGACAATGGGCGGGAGAAAATAGTAGGAGAGAGCGGAAATTTCGGGGGCTTCAGCTTTCCCCTCCATACCTTCCGGTGGCTCCGCTCCTACTGCTAGAAGAGCCAGCAAATGGGCCAGTTGGTTGCAGTGTATATGTGCTCTGTGGTTGCACTACATTCAGTAAACATTTAGCGTCCTACAAGGAAACGACGTCGATGTGGATATGACCCGGGACGAGAAAAAGGACAGATGGGGAACAACGGCGTGCCTTTGTTCTGACGCCAACGTTTTCTCGAAAAGAACTACAGTTTGTCTAACACTTATAACGTATGCTTTGCGTGAAATTGTTCTCAAACACGCGTATCGTTATCGTTCGTTACTCCGGGTGCCAGCGTCCCGCAACGTGGATAAAAATGACGCGCGTCTAAATCGTTGCACTCGGCCTGGCGAGTTTCCCGGCGGCTGCGTCACGAAGCGGCGCGGCGAACAATCAGGAAATGTCAGCCGTAGATAGGCTTGGCGCGGGCCGGGTGGCATTGCGAGGCGCGGAAGCGGAGCGCGCACAACGCACCGCCGTCGGCTCTCCATGGCTTCTTCGTCTCAGCTGTACACGCTGTGCGGTTTCAGCGCCGAACTGGACTGGAGACCGCTGCGCTTCGTCGAGCCCGTGCCGGCGCACCGAGTGTGCAGCGTGTGCGGTGTGCTGCCCAGCGTGACCGCCTTCCTGTCGTGCCGGCACGTTCTGTGCAGAGGCTGCTACGAGCGATGCCTGCTCGACGGCTGTCCGATCGAGGGGGACCCCTTTCTGGAGGATGACGTCGAGTGGAGAGAGCTGCCTGCGCAGAACCTGCTCAGTCGGAAGGTGAGAGAATGCGAGAGCAATACTGCTCGCGTGCCATGTTTTCCAGGAAGATTTCGCCAATTTTCAACGAGCACATGTCAGAATAGTGGGAGCATGCCCTGGTAGGGGGGCCGGATGCTTTGCTGCCAAAGATAAATGCTCTGTAAAGCAGTTCTAGTTTTCGGAACTGAATCACAGCGGAATCCTTCTATCAGAGATAGTGAAGTGTTCTGCTGCTCATCGCAAAGATTGATCCCCCGCGGGTGGGGGCGTGTATCCTTTGGTTCGTCGCTCTTTCGATTCATCTGAGTGTTATGTCATGGTGTGGTGCAATGTTATTATGCGAGAGAATTCCTCGTTCGTAGCAGGGCACTTTCTATCAGCCTCCTATCTTGTCAGTAACCGCGTTAAAGTTTTCGCATGAAATTGTTTTGAAAGCTGCTTGCCACGCGTTCATTTTGGCGGGAGACTTTGATTTGCCGGACAATTATCTTGGCGTGACGTAACTTGAGATGACAGCGGGTGGAAGATGAAAAGTGCTGTTAATTCTTGTGGGTTAATCAAATATTCCATTACACGTGGCACTAAATACATTGGACTTCGTTTCCTGCAACTCGCTAAATATAGTGAATACAATAAATGTCGTTCCGGTAATAAGTGACCTCCATCCTGTCATCGCCATTGCTCAAACCAACAATGGGATACAAGCGAAACAAGAGACGAGATCGGTGTACCTACATGATCGAGGTGATACGCTAGTATGTCATGGAAGCTGCTTGATAATATGCCGCTTTTTAATCCTCTCAAATGATTGTGACGTTGTGTGTGATTGCGGCAAAAGCTTAAACAAAAATGCAGGAGCTTGCAGACACCTAGATTCCCGGTATCGGATGCGGTAGAATTAAAACGTGAAAAAAAAAAACATGGAGTGAAAAGATGAAAATGAAGGCGCATGTATTTAAAAGTAAAAAGAAAAAAAACTAACAGTCGTTGTCACTTTGAAAGCTTGAATGGTGTGACTGATGAGTTCAAGCAGAATATAAAAGAAGCTAAGTGGTGCTACATTGAAAAACTTGACACCAAAATAAAAACCATTTAAAAGGTGCACTGGCAATACATGAAATGCTGCGCAACAGATTCGTCGGGAATCACCAAAATCCTCTTCAATAATGAGGAGTTGTTAGATGATACTGAGAAGGCTACTTGTGGAGATAACTATTTTCGTTCCCTTACACTTGCCGAATTCTAGCTCTAGTTCTTTGCAATGTACAAGTTTAGTACCTATTATGTAGTAGTGAACTGTGCACGGAACTTGGGCATCACTAAACAAGATTATCGATAATAAGGCAATAGACCGGATGGTATACCACCTCGAATAATAAAGCAGTGTTCTCAGTCAATTTGGCTTTGTTCGCACGTAATCTAGATCAAGTCTATTGCCTCCGGTGCCTTCCCAGACGACTGGGAAATGGCACATTCGCTTCTATTTCTTAAATGGGGTCTAACTATTACGTAACGAACTATGGGCCTATGTCGCTTACGTCAAGTTATTACAACACACGGTGTAAGGAAATGACACATTTATCAACAAGCAACTTTCTGGTCTCTCAATAACGTGTGTTCCGTAAAGGCTTATCTTGCACAACACAGATAATTGAATTTTACCCTCTCAAATATATAGTGGCAGGCAAGTCTATTTCACTTTTGGGGCTTCCGTGTCTTCGCACTGTTTTACTTGAACTTGCAGCGCTAAACATTTACCGCGCAGTTCGGGCACGGATAGAAAAGTATCCCTCGGGCCACCGACGGTGCGTAGTATTAAAAGGCAAGAAATTAAGTTTTGTAAACATAACAGCGGGGGTGCCACGAGGCTCACTCCTGGGTCCACTTTCATTTTCAATATATATAAAAATGACATTTGGACAGGAATAGGTTCCAATACGGTTTTTTGCAGGTGAGTGCGCCTTAATTGCACAGAAAAACTAGAAATGGAGATGTCGCCTTGCTTCAAGGTCGTTTGTTGAGTGTTAAATAATGGTGTTCAAAATGAAAAATGACCTTAAGTGCGAAACAATGCGTTTATGCTAATTTCACGCGTAAAGAATGTTAACCTTGGAGTGCGGCCCCGCCGCGCTGGTCTATGGTACTCGGCTGCTGACCCGCAGGTCGCGGGATCAAATTCCAGCTGCGGCGGCTGCATTTCCGATGGAGGCGGAAATGCCGTAGGCCTGTGTGCTCAGATTGGGGTGCACGTTAAAGAACCGCAGGTGGTCGAAATTTCCGGAGCACTCCACTATGGCGTCTCTCATAATCATGTGGTTGTTGTGCGGCGTTAAACCATACATATCAAATCAACCTTGGAGTGCGTTATCAGCAATAGTATATTAATATGAAAATTGCAGTATATATACTTAGGTGTGACGTTTTCAGCGGACTGCTCATGGAATGCTCATGTCGATTTAGTAGTTGCAAAGGCCGCCAGGTTATTGAACTCCATGGATTCGCAATGCTCATAGACTGTGGCGCCGCCAAGCGGGATTTAGGAGCGTCCTTTCAAGGATTGTTCAGTCGGCAGACGCTCCCTTGTTCGGCTCTTCTAGGCTCAGTGTTAATGCGTTCGCAAAAATGGCAGCATATCCACGGAGTGAATGATGGAGAGTGGGGCGAAGAATTCGTCCGTCCATTCGTTCTTGCTTCCGTCCGTCCATGCGTCCGTCAGTGTGACCGTCCATCAGCCCGTCCGTGCGTACGTCTGTTCGTGCGTCCGTCCCTGCGTTCGTCCATGCAGCCGCCCCTGCGTCCGTTCATGCGTCCATCCTTGCATCCGTCTATGTGTCCGCTCGTCCATCTATTCAACACTCCAAGTACCACCATCTCGCATCTTTTCATCATACATTCGATGGATGGAAGGATAGATGCTATGAGCGTCCCCTTTATAACGGGGTGGTGACAAGTATGCCACCAGGCTCGACAAAAAAAAAAAAACCTTTTTTCTTTTTTTTTATGTTGGCCTAATGCCTCTACTTCGATAAATTCTATCTTAATGGAAAAAAAGGTAAATTTTCAGCTTTAGTTCTCTGCCATTTACGGCACACTGTCCATATTTTATTTTTCCAATATTTATTTTTGTCCTTTCTCTCTAATTTTCTGCCACCAATACTCTAACCGTCTCTTACTTATTTCAATCGCGGGTGTGTTCAGCTTTCCATTGTTGTCCCTAAAACCCAAGGCTTCCTGTAGGCTCGTGCCCAAACGTACACCTGGGAGGATATCTCCACATTCAATCAGAACATGCTCCGCCGTTTCCTTATCTTTCCCGCAGCATGTGCATTGTTCTTCTTCTTTACTGAATCTTGCTTTATAACTACGCGTTCTAAGGCAACCCGATCTCGCTTCAAACAGTAAAGCGCTTCCCCTTGAATTATCGTAAAATGCCTCCCTCCTTATTTCATTTTTGCCCTTTCGGTAGTTACTCAGAGCCGGTTTTTTCTCCATAGCTGCCATCCAGTAAATCCTCTCCGCCTCCCTGACTTTTCCCTTAACGCTCTTTGTTGACATATGGCTCACAATACCAGCCGTATATTTACTAGTGAGTCTTCTAGTTCTTTTTCTCCACTGTGTGTCCACGCTCTTCCTATACAAATAACGGAACACCTTCTCTGCCCATCTACTCTCCTTCATATTTCTTAGCCTTTCTTCGAACCTTATTTTGCTCTGCGCTTCCCTCGCCTCAAAACCTGCCCACCCCATATCGCCCTTTACAGCCTCGTTCCCTATATAGAAGCACCGCCATCCAGCGGACATTCCAAGGACTAAACGAGAGGTGGCACACGCACACTTTCTTACGGCTTGCGCTTCGGGTTCACTTCCCACCTTTAACCACCTCGAGTTCATGGTATATACTAGTTCACTGTATTCATGGCACTGCGGCCGAACGCTCGCTAAACCTTTCGAAAACCAAGGAGGTGACGCCCAGCGAGTATAACGTAGCAAACTTTTTCAGTCAGATAGTGCTCAATGTACATGTCAATGGCTGCTAATGGGAAATGAGAGGCGTAGAATTCTGCTTTTACTTTCTTACGGCTTGCGCTTCGTATGTACTTCCCACCTTTAACCACCTCGAGTTCATGGTATATACTAGTTCACTGTATTCATGGCACTGCGGCCGAACGCTCGCTAAACCTTTCGAAAACCAAGGAGGTGACGCCCAGCGAGTATAACGTAGCAAACTTTTTCAGTCAGATAGTGCTCAATGTACATGTCAATGGCTGCTAATGGGAAATGAGAGGCGTAGAATTCTGCTTTTACTTTCTTGCGGCTTGCGCTTCGTATGTACTTCCCATTTTTAACCACCTCGAGTTCATTCATGGTATATACAAGTTCATTGTATTCATGGCACTGCGGCTCAACGCTCGCTAAACCTTTCTAAAGCTAAGGAGGTTACACCCAGCGAGTATAAAGTAGCAACCCTTTCTTGTCAGATAGTGCTCAATGTACATGCCAATAGCTGCTAATGGTGATCGCAGCCTGCGCGTTAACTAAAAGCCGAATGCTCCTGTCTCTCATTCCCCATTAGCAGCTATTGACATGTACATGGAGCACTATTTTTTATTGTTCAACAACGTACAGAAGAAATCTCTCACCGGAACCACCTTCGAGGTCAAAATCGTAACGACCGCTATTTCGGGTATGTGCCACTGGTGCCACTGGTGGTTACGTACTACGAGGGGCGCACAAGCCACGCCATAAGGAGCTTCGCCCCTAAAAAACGAACGCTCACCACTTTGCATGTTTCCTGCATTAGTGAACAAACTGGGCCCTCCGTGACACGATAAATAAGCTGATTCGTTCTTACGAGACGCGACGTGCAAGATTTTCTGTAGCCACATAAGTTAGTTAAATGTTATCGTCTGAACTTTTCAGTTGAAACACACCGTGTTTTACGTGCTTATAGCAATTGCCAGTTTCTTTTTTTTTTTTAGTGCATGAATCCCGTAACATTCATTGTACGCGGAAAGTAG